ATTTCAGAATCGTATGTGGAGAAAGACAAGAAGACCATACAGTGGAGCGTATGGCGCCGATCCTAACAGAAATTTTAACTACCACTTTGCAGGTGAGCACATGAGAAGACCAGTTTGATCACCGGTATTGCCTTCTGAGATAATACTGTATTCCATCTAGCAAACAATCAAGGCCAAATGATTTTTTAAAAAAAACTACCTTTAAGACGGTTGGTTGGAAAAAAAAAAAAAAAAACAGAGAATAGTGAGTGAGTGAGTGAGTGGATTGATGTGTGGGTGGAAAAAAGTGAGTGTGTGAGCGAGCGAGCGAGCGAGCGAGTGAATGGAGTCTGCAAGCGAGTGAGTGGATGAGCCGTGTGCGAGCGAGTCAGTGGATTGATGTGTGGGTGGAAAAAAGTGAGTGTGTGAGCGAGCGAGCGAATGGATTTCGTGTAGCCGCGGGCCACATTTGTGGCAGAAACTTAATTACTGGTTTTCAAAACCTGTTTAGTTTAAGGTTAAATGCGCGTGCCCTGTTGAGCGACTACACGCTGGAAATTTCTGAGACCACAGTTGTTATCGTGCAAACCGGTCCTGTGAGTTATGTCGCACGTGACTAAAACGTTTTTGGTTGTTAAGGCAACGTACGCCAGTTCCTGCCTGATAGAAAACGTATCGGGGGCAGGCAGAGGTCTATTCTTTCCTCTCCTTCTTCTCTTGCTGTAAGTGACCTCGGGGGAGGGCTGTTGGAATGAATGAATGGTAAATGAACTTTCGGGATTTCAGGATTGAAAAGGGTGGCTAAAACTTGAGCTAATGGATAATTGATACATATTCTCACGTAGGAGTGGGAACTTCACAGAGCCCTGGCAGTGATATATACACTGGACCCCGTCCATTTTCCGAGACAGTGACCCATAACGTGGCTAAGTACCTATACCGCCGCAGGCACGAGCTGAAGGGATACATTGATTTTCATGCATACAGTCAGTTGTGGATGAGTCCTTGGGGCTACACGAATGCATATCCTCCGAAATATGACAAAATGGTACGTTAGCAGTTCTCATGACCAAAATATCTTACAAAAATGAAAACTTAAGTCACCTTAAATTATAAAAGTAATCTACTGACAATTGACTTGACTCGACTCCTCTTATCGCACAGTGCATATCACAGAACCACACGCTGGGAAACCTGGAACCTGGAAAACAATCGAACCTCTAGATTGGTTCAGTGACGGAAATAGACAAAACTGCTCCATTCTATATACCCTTACGGAAATAGATTAAATTGTCATGAGAATGTCAAGGGAAAAAAGAATGCACGTGAGACCACTGTCCTTTGAGTTTCAACATTTAGAAGTCGTTTATATGGTTTATAATTAGTTTTGACAATAGGAAATTGCTGTATTCTCCATTTTCCAATTGCCCATAATACACTCTGTTTGCCCCCCAAATTCTGCATAAACCATTGTTTTTAAATGCTCCTGGGAGTATTGCATTTTCCCAAGAGCGTTTTAAGACAATAAGTTATGCAAAATTTGGTGGGCAAACAGAGTGTATTATGGGCAATTGGAAAATAGTCAATATTTGTTGTACCGTTGAAAAAACGAGCAGGAGTGTGTTATCAGGTTTTAAAACTCTCGGTTTCGCCTCGAGGTTTTAAACTGAACTGACAATAAACCACTGTGAGTTTTTTGAACGGCTTCAAAATCTCTGATACAAATCAACTCATTCTTGCACTAATAGTTAGATTTGAAGCCTGTTTTGGTCTAAAAATTGGACGTAAAGTTTAGCCGTGTCTTTATCTGAGATTCAAAGATACTCATAAAACATAACTTCTTTATTTTGTTCTTTTATTTGTATGGAAATGAAAGCATAGAAAGTCATTACATTATTATCTTGCCATATTCCATTTGATTATACCGTCTTTTTTTTATCTTTGTTGCTTAGAAAAAGGCTATGCAAGCTGCAATTAAAGCTTTGACTGCTGTGCATGGCACATCTTATAAATATGGGCCGGCTGCCATTACAATCTGTAAGTATCATTCATAGTTGAGGGACGAAATCGTTATATTCCCTGAGGGAATATAACGTGTGCTGACAGAATTTATAAAATTATGAATCTCCGAAAATAGTTTTCAAAACTCCTTTATATTCAGCCGACGCATATCGTTCAATGTACTTCACCTATTAAATCACGTTTAAGTATCGTTATACCCGGTAAAACTCAACAAACTAAAAAGTCAGGAAATGGCGATTTTAGTCTCAGTGGAAATACGGGGTTGAATGAATGTATGAAACAATGGAATGCTGTTTGGGATGGAGAATTTTGATAACTGAAGATCAGTACCAAAAAAATATATATATATATAGTAATACGATCATCCTAATTTGGTACCACAGTTAAACCTCACCACAACGGTCGCCTTAGGGACAGAGAAAGTGGCCGTTGTAGAGAGGTTTCAACAATAGGTAATGTATGGACTGTCCACCACAAAAAAAAGTGGCCGCCGTGGCGGACAGGTTGCCGTCAGTGGGGGTTCGACTTTACGTGAATTTTAATACACTTTGTTAAGGTGGGGAGAGATGGTAACCGACTGCGTAACTACACTTTTCTGCAACTTCACTGTTTCCTTTCACCCATGTATAGTAAAGGAATACAAGACAGTATTAGATCAGTTTGGATTCTATGCTGTGCATTCTGGATTCCTGGACAATGGAAATTGGATTCCGGATTTCAATCGTCTGCTGGATTCCGGAAATCCGGATTACCTTAGATCCTTTAATCTACCGGCTATCTTTTCGACATATTGCTTGAGGGGAGTGAATGACACCTTTACTGTTTTTTTGTCAATTTTTAAAGAACAACGCTCAGTAACGATGTCTAAGGGACCATTCATTATTTATCGCCGGGGGGAGGGGTGGGGGCGGCGGGGGATTTGGGGCTAAACAATTTGAAATTTAGTCGATCCCCCCTTTGAATGTTATTTCACTGAAGTGATCTCCCCTAATAACATCTGATGACTTTCTTCATTTTCCAAGCAAATTTGAGTGGTCCCC